AATACTCTCAACTCCCTTGCATCAACTATAGTTTGCATAATATACTTAATAATGGGTCTAAAAAATAAACTAATTCTCCTTGCAAGGAGAAAGGGTATGTATTTCCAGTCTGTGCCTAGTAGCTACCCAGAAAAAAAAAGGAAAAAAAAAAAATTATTCCTTGCTGTGGGCAAATCTGCATGTCTTGATGAAAATTAATTGTAATTACATTTAGAACATTCAAGTGTTAATTTTTTCCAAAGTCAAAGTGAATGGGGCTTTGGTCTTGCAGCAACAGGAAAAGTGACTTGTTTAAGATCATACCAGTAGGCTTCGACAGAACACTATATCTGTATTCTGCAACGGGCACATAGATATCATGTATACTGTGTATTTTTATTTGCTGGAGGTGCTCTTCAGAGCTTTGTAGTACAGATGCTGTTTTCTAGCTACACCAACCATTTAAAAACTAGAAGTTACTTCACGCAGAAAAAAAACTAGGGTTATATCAAAGCATTTCAGTTCCTCACAACAAAACTCTGTGCTTGGTTTCCAATACTAAATTTGTAACATCACAACTTTTTCATAAGAATTAAATGGAAAGAGAAATAAAGGGGGAAGAAAAAGCTTTTAGAGTGTTAACTCTCCACGGCAGGAGGAAGCCAGCATGGGCATTGAGCTCGGCACACTCATTCCCTTCTCCCTGCTGAAAGGGACACAAAAAGAACTCTGGCTAAGCATTTATTTTTCTGCTAATGTGAAAGTTTTCTTTTAAAGAGGAAGCAGATTGAACAGAGCACGAGAAAAGAATTTGACTCTGGCTTATTTCCAAAGGTTTTTTTTTTTCCTGATGATTCACTGTTATCACTTGTATTCACATTACAACCAGCCTCAAAAAGAAATACCCAAAACCAAAACCAACCCCCCCAACAACAACAAAAAAAAATCCCCATAGCACAAAAGCACTAAGAAATAGGATCTCTCCTACTGCTAAATTCTGCTAATAAGCTATGTAAGAAAAGAATCACGTAAGATAAGAGTGCCTATGTTCATTCACATTTGAGTAGGAACATTGCTAAGCCTCTAGACGTGGAACTTTAGAGCATATCTAAAGATGGTGAATCTCCAAGGCATTAAACAAAATGGTAGACACCGATTGAACTTGTTTTACTTCAGCTATATACTAAAATACAAAACATCTAAATATCTCTGAAGTTTAAAATGTTTAAATTTTCAGTATAGTCTTTCCAGTAGTTTTATTTTCAAACAGGAATTTGTTTGGATATCCAGGGAGGAGACATAACTGCTTATTCTCTGAAAACACACGTAACAATTTTTATTTGTGGGAGACCTCTCACCCCAGCCCTAGTCACTCAATTGTGAAATTTATGTAGCAATTCACGAACCACTTTTACATGGGCATTCAGATAAAAGGAGGTAAAGCAAGGCCGAAATGAGTGCTGATAGTTGCTTTCTTACTGTATACGTGTCTAAAAGAAAATAGCAATGCTTGCCATAGGCTTCTGTTACTTAAACCTCTTGACACAACCTAGAACATAATTCACATAATTTCATTCTCCCTGCCTGCAAGGATATTGGCAGGACAGGATGTAAAACTAACTGGAACCCAAACACAAATCTCTAATTTCAGTAGCATTTTGTATCTGCTTTCAGGAGTAGATACAAGTTTTATCTTTAGACATACTCCAGTGGAAAGACTGTATCAGGACGTCTCAACACAGCTGGATCTACTGTCCAGCTGACTTCTTTTTCTAGTTCAAGTGAAGAGTACAAACACTACGAAAGTACTACTAATAGACAGACAGATACAATGCTTTCTTACCCCATCCCAATCATACCATGACTTCTGGTTTATTTTTTTCATGTAACAGAATTGTCTGCCATCCTTACAATCAGAGCTCGATCAATTCTACCTGGAAGGAAGTCTGTACCAAACAGCAAAAAGTAGATCTGATTTAATATGACTGTAGCTCTATGCTCTAGACATATTTTCTTACAAATTCAATATCCACAACTTTTTATAAGTATCAGTCACAGTAGGATTCCTAGTTCCCGTCTCACCTCCCATTTTCAGGACTCCTACCGCTCGTATACATCATTACATTTTTGAGTTCAAACATACAATTCCCCTACTGTTTGCCACTCCCAAAGCGTTTGTGGGGTTAGGAGCCCCAGACTTATCACTTGGAAGAGTGGGACCCAAGCATAAAAGGGTGGTGCTGTCCTTTCTTCAGTGTTTGGAGCCGATACATTCACACACATCTATGGCAAAGCCCAGCATTAACTGGGTGCCGGTGTTTAGCACCCACAGACTGGCCAGCCTATACTCGACAGGGAAAATTGTATCTTTTTACTCACTTTAAGATGCTTTAGAGGACAAGAACATGAAAGAACAGCAGGCAGTGTTTCCAAAATCTCCACATTTGCTCAAGCCATTAGCCATGCAAGAGCTGCACACACAAAAAGGCGTAAAAGAACAAGCTGGATTATGCCAGCAGAGGTCAGTGGGTGACTCTTGCTGAATGTTTCAGATGCACAGTGTAGTACAGATGGTTTCAAAGTCAGCTATGTTCCCTCAACCTGGAACATGGGAGGCCATTCTTTAAGTGGATGCCACTCTTTAACTAGATGCCTCCATTTTGCCCTTTTTCGCCCCATTAGCCTACCCAAGCAAATGATGGTGCTTTGGTATGTTACCATCTCTGTGCTTTTCTCTTCAAAATACGTTTTTAAGTTGCTGGCAGACAAAATCAAAGTTTATCAGCCCACGAGGCTAGGAAGGAAGAGGAATAGTTTCCAAAGCTAATGCCTATTTTTTAAAAGATTTCCATTGCAGTTCCCTACACTAATATAGCAGGTTAAGCAGCTGAGTGTGTTGCTCTGGAATGTTTAGTGCATGCTACTTCAGCCTGTGAAGTAACACTGACATGCTGTTTTTGTAACTTACATATAATGAAAAGTTTGCTTAATTGGCAATGAAATCAAAATTCCTTTTCTCAGCATTTGAAGAGATCTAATGCTTCAACATTTGGCTTAATTAAAAAGCAAGTGAAACAGGGAAGAAGCAAATTACACATATTACTATATATCATTCTAAGAAAATCTTCTGATAATAAGGACCGATTTAATCAGCATATACTATATATTCATTTATTATACCACTTAAAAAAAAGAAAAAAAAAGGTGGTTTCATCAAACCTAGGCACAAGATTAGCTGACTCTAAAGCTGATAGCAGTGAATGTCAGGTCATGCAGCCTTTTTCAATAATAAATTAGCAGTCACTGTACCTCACACACGAGCTTCAATTCATTTCCACATATCTTTGGTTTTTAAAAGCTGACAGTCAGGATCTTTTCCTCACGGTTTCTTAAATTGCTGTCCATTCACTGCAGTTATCAACCATGAGCTCTTCAACTATTTTTAAAGTCAACAGTACCCAAGTAGCTGTGGTAGAAGAACTTTGGGAAAGAGGTGTATTGAGACACCCCAAAATCATTACATAAAATATAAACTAATGTCCTACACAATTACATATGAATTTATTCTCACACCACCAGCAGTGTGATGAAAGGCATCTAAACAAATCTTTTAAGTGAGTAACACGAGGATCTTACCAGTAGAGTATCTGGGACAGTTTAGTCACTCTGCTTGATCACTTCTTTCCCATTTCCCCTCACTACAGGCCAGCTTTGTGTAATCTTCTGCCTCAGACTCATATAACTCCTGTCTTTAGACCCAGCTATGCCAACATAAAAGCAGCACAAGTATTAAAAACCAGTCTTCACTATCAGCCTGCAATCAAGGCCCCTCAGGTTATTCTCTGCTCCAGAAAAGAGCTCCTCAGATTGTTTAGGGAAAAAAAAAAACACATTAAACAGCAGGCACTTCACTTCAACTTGTGTCCAAAATTTTATTTTCATCCTGGTCAGCTCAGGATGTAGACACTAGTTTAAAAGAAAAAAACCAGAAGGATAAGCACATAGCTCACCTGCCTAAAGTCTGTATCTGGGCTGAACAAAGACTGTATTTCAACCATCACAAGTTATTCACCAGGTACCAAGCAATTCAATCCAAGCAGCATAAATATAAGAGCAAGCCTGGTTCAGGGACACAGGGCTGGGGAGAATAAGATGTCCAAGTATCGCTGCTCCCCCAGGCATGATTGAAGAAACCAACTCCTTTATTTCCAAAAATAAGTTTACCTGAAAGATGGTAAAATACAAATGCAGGTCTAACAGGCTTTTTAAGAACAATTCAGAGGCAAAAAAATTCTTAACCTGAAAATTTTTATTCTCAAAATAAAAAACGTTGTACAGAACATTGAAGATCTGAGTAAATCTAAATACAGCAGTCTCCGCAATACAACACAAGGGTTTGCTTTTAGCACAGCACTTTCACACTCTAGCAATCAGAAGGAAAGCCAAGCGATTAGGAGGAAACAAAAAAAAAAACCAACCAAAAAACTTCTATCTGTCAGAATGTGTATTTCTAAAATGAGCTCCTTCTTCAAAAATGTACCTAGAAGGAAGAGCACTCTCCAGGTCAGATTGCAGAGCTATTCACACTATAAAAACACATCAAGAGAGGACAGGAGATTTTCTATAGGAGAAATGATTTATGAAACATAACTGCCAGACTGAGACATAAATATCTTTTGTTTCTAAATTCCTCTCTCTTCCCCTCCCACACACACTTATGCAACTCTCAGAAAGGTATAAACTGTGGATCGTTATGTATACACATAGAGCAAGTACTGCGCAAGCAGAGAAGTCTAAACCCATGTTGATTCTTCTACTATTCAACTGTACATTATTTGTAACATTGCATTCTGAACCTTACACAAAGCTTACACAGTAGTTTCCATAACCAAACTAAGCACATTTACACTTTGTGGTTCTCTGGATGCAATTTTCGTGGCACCTTCTTTTCTACAGCAGTGTCCAGGAGACACCATGCACACAGCATATTGGAATTCTTCTGCTCCATTTCTGCTGTACTTGTTTCATAAACATGTGAAATAGCCTTCCACAATCACATGGAGACAGAAACATGCATTGCTGCTTTTCCTGACAAACTGAACAAGTTACCACCTTTCAGCCACTTGTAGCTGGCCAATAGCCACATGAACCACTACCCCTCTACTTAGCCAAGCCCTGGTCTGGAGGCATCCCTCCTTCCCAGGACCATTGCTGATTCTGCAAAGCAGTTCTGCAGTTGTAGCAAGAGCAAGAGTCAATCAAAACAGCAATTTAACAAAGGGTACATTCTGTTTCAGACAGTGGTCACTCTGTAATGTATACCAGTACATTCACATCATTGTCACCAACACGCAATGCTAGTGCCGAAGAAGCTTTCAGCAGTGGCCTTCTCTCATCTAAACAAAAAATACGAAGTGCCACCTCAAACCACTGCTTCTGCTGCATTTTTAAGTGACTCAGAGAATCTGCCTTGAAATGATCAATCTGTACTTTTAGTACTCTGAAAAACCAAAAAATTAGTGCTTGGAGACCGCTTGGCTGCAACTTTTAGGACTTTCTTTTTGAACTTAAGAACATGCTGTTGTTTTAGAGAATTCTAAATTGATTATTTGATCATTAATGTCCAGTAAGTGTCTGTATCGCAGAAGTCGGTTGCTTGGTTCTGTGGAGAAAAGTGCCCTGAGTTTTCAGAACATCTCTACCTTTTTGTGACCACTTTCAAAGCATAAGTAAGCCTGCAGCACAGATAGCTGCATGAGTGAAACTAATGGCTTAAAGACCCATCTCCTTTCAGGACAAAAAAAAAAGAAAGAAGTTACTATCATGAAAGCAAGGACTTATACTGATATTACCTCTATTGCAAAGTTGTTTAAAGAGAAAACAATGGCCTGTGGGTGAAGATCTTCATTAAACAGTTTTCTCAAGTATGATTTATACTGAAATAAATGAAAATTTTTATCCTTTTTTTACCCAAAAGGGGAGGGAAGGAAGGCACTTTGTGATCTCATTTGATTAAACAATTCGCTGTAGGCAATAATATGACATTGGTGAAAGAGTATGAAATTTAAAGGCAGTCACGGCTTCAGTCTTCCATTCCAAGTTCTTGTTTCAGACTGAAAGATAAGTAGAAACATGAGTTAGCTTGTAGCAAAAGACTGAAAACTGTTTAGTTCAATTACTGGAAGCCCTGACAGTAAACACACTGAAGTTGAGAGCCAAAAGACAAAAGTGTATATACCTATTGTTTTCAGTAAAAACCAGAGTATCAGAAAAAGCACATGTCAAAATCTCAGATTCTGAAGCCAACTGACTGATCTTGAGATTTACCTGATGAACTAGGATGTGGACAGCTCTACTCTCCCACTTCTGAGATGCTTATCCCAGTTAAAGCAACCAAGTCACTGACACAATGGTATCCTTACCTTTTTAAGTAGGCATGGACATTGTCAAAGCCATGGTACTTGGCCAGATAAACCAGGACACCTGTTGCACATCGGCCATCTCTTTGTCTGCAGAAGCTACAGTTGCAGATTCCACGACATGGTGGGCACCTCCATGTCTAGAAAAAAAACAGACAAGCCTTTTTAAGTGAACTGCAATGCCAGATACAATTCACACCTGCAACTAAGAAGAGTGCCCTGCTCCACATTGAGTTCTAAAGGAAACATCACACAGCAGAAGTTGTCTAAACGAGTGCAAGAGTACGAATTCTTCAATCTGTAGGGGATTAAACTCTCCTTTGACTGCCCTGCACATAACCACAGGAAGCATTCCACTCTGTTTAACTCCTACACCACAACCCATAAGAGTACACAACACAGAACCCTTCCATAGGGTATTAAGCACTAATGCAAGGCAAAAAAGGACAGTATTTTGATGCTCAAATACAAGAATACGTTGGCCGCTGCTCTGCTCTCATACTTCAATCCTGCAAATAAAGCTACAGAAGTAGTAAATACAGCAAGTTCTACACACCACAAAGTTCTGCAACTCAAGTTGAATCAAGCTAGGCCTGCATTATGTACTACAGCACTGTAAGCAGTTCTCCTATCAAAACTCTCACTGTGAGTAACCAATACACCTGGCTGCTCAAGCTAAGCACAACAAAGCCAACATTCAGAACTGTCTTACCGGATCCAGCAGGGCTGTTCTGACACTCTCCCCGTATCTGTTGCGGAGGCAGGGCTCGCAGAACTGGCCCCGTACTCCCACGCAGTCGGGGTTACGGCAGTTTGTCTTGGTGTCTGTGGTTTTTTGGCGACACTGATGACAGGTGGATCCCTAGAACCCAGGAAAAAGAAACAAGACATTAAAGATGGCATTTTAGTTAGGGGAATGAAGCATTTAACGAAATCTCTTTGGCAGCTAACAGTGCTTGTCCAACAACAGAAAGCCACCTTGCAAGTTTGAAACAAGACTGTTTTAACACAACATCTTCAGTGTTTGTTAATCACTTTCCATGGCTGGTATCACTTAGGTGATAAAGTTCATAGTGAAAAGCTGATAGTGTTACAGAGTGAAAGCATGCTAATTGGCTTGGTAAAGGCCATTCTACAAATTTGGGCAAAAATAAGAAAGGACACTTCAAGATCTTTCTCCCAAACATCACATCCTTCCTCTCAGTGAGAGGGAGTCTGCTCTATTTGATGCTAAAACACAAGCAAGGAATAACAAGAAAATAACTTCACAAAGTACACACTTCCCAAAGCTGGAATATACTTACCATGGTCCTGTTATATACTTTTTCTCTTGCAGATCCACAAATATTATTGAGCTCTTCCTCTGTTATGTCCTCAACTGGGCGCACAATGTGTGGAAAAGCCATGGCACCACGGTGACCTCTCCTGGGAGATTGGGCTTCATGCTGATTAGCAAAGACATAAGTATTGGTTTCAGCAAAAACTCTACAAAGGTAAGATTTTCACAGCAATGCCAAAGTCTCAAACACCCACTATATATTAAACAAGATATACCAGAAGTTTGCACAGACATATGGTATGAATGCAGCTTTAGCACATTCACCTGATTTGTCACCTTCAAGGTGCAGATAAGCTACTATCTTGTGTAATTCCTGCTAGAGTGCAAGAGGAAGTCATTTTTCAAGGATAAGGGACAGAAATAGGAAAACGCATACAATATGTTATTTTCTGTACTTCTTCCAAGACCGTGGCATACTGATAAACCTCATCAACTCTGTGTGAATTGCTATTGTCTGGAAGGAACAAAAAAACACCTTCACAACCCACAACAGGAGAATTAGATCCTCATCATACCTCCACGTATTCATCAGGTATCTTTCTTCTTCTCACCAAGATGTACCGGTCATCTTCTTCCTCTTCCGGTAAAAGAGTAGGAGGACCTTCAATCAAGGACCTGGACCTTGTGTGAGGCCGAGAACTTCGGTCTGGGTTCCTCCTCAAAGCATATCTGGGCGATGAGCGTCTTGGAAGTCGCTTTGGTCCCTGCTAAATTTAAAAGCCCCTAATGAAACAGGCAGAAACCCAGACAGCTCCAGCCCCTGCTGAATTCCTCCCCAAAAGATGCCTTTCTTCTGTCTTTCCCAAAGACATGTCTATCTATGTCCCAGTCAGAAAACACAAGGTAAAAACATCCTAGGCAAATTCATCACAGGCATTCTGCTAATCACAGAGAAACAATCAAAAGCAAGTTTGTGTCTATGCAGGTATAAGACACAATAATTCCCCCATGCAGCAGCAGTACCCCTGTCTACGAGAAGTTACAATTTTTAGTGTTGTTTTTATCTTCACCCACCTTACAGATAAACCAGCAGTGAAATTCATTACACTGCTGATTCACAACCCAACCTTCTTAAGGGTTAGTCTAAAAGCCAGGTGTTTTTCAAGTCTCCAGACTCATGGAATATGCAGGCCTGAGCTTCAAAGTCTGAGCTGCCCCCCCCCTTATCTCCAGCCTCTGTATAAATACGTATTTACATAGCACTTGTTTAGTTTTACTGGCCTATGGAGACACCTTACCTTTATGAATTAATCTGTTCTGCTTTATACAGTGGCAAATCAAATCAAAAGAAAATTACACAATGAGGATACGTGTTTTAGGAAGCAATGAAATTCTGACTGGACTTTGATTTGAAGAGTTTGTTAAACTTTTTAATTGAGAGTCAGAATTCGACTCCTGGAAACCTGAAGACAAATACAGTAAGTTTATACTCACATGACTGACAGCTGGCAATGATTTTTTCCCACCAAAGATACCAGAAACATTTTGCAACTCAGCCATTAGTTTTGCAAGCTAACAAGAGAAAGAAAAATTAAGTAGAACCTTAAAAGGGTGTTTATGTGCTATTACAGACTACTAGGGCAATTGGCTAGAAGTACAATTAATTAAAGGAAATGCAGTCACTCTTTTGCTCTTTACTTTTATGTCTTATTTATGTTCTAGTGACTGCAAGTAATTTGGAAATGCTCAAACTTACTATGCTGTTAGGCTTGCAGCCTATGCATTTTCACATGCCAGTGGATATAAAATATCAGAAGTATATATTAGGAATGCAAATTCCTTTTAATGCATTCACATAAATTCCCATTACAGTTTATTTAAACAAAGAGGTCCCCCCAGAGTCAAGAGGGAGAGGGGAAGAAGGGAGAGTCCCTGGGGAGACATTGAATACTTGCCATTGCTTTGTTTTCCTTTATATTTAAAGCTCTTTTTTCTAAAAACATGGCTCCCTTGTCTTCAGTGTCAGAGTCTGAATCTGCATCAGGCATTGGTGTTTCAGGAACAGGTTCTATATCACCCTTCCTCCTCTCCGATCGTCGAAGTGGAAACCTTATGGCTACTTTTAGAGGAATAGAGCATTTCTGCCCTCTCTGAGCTACCTCACTTTCTGCACTTGTATCACTCTCCTCTGAATCCGATTCCAGTTTCTGTTAACAAACCAGAAGGGAAGTATGTAAGTCCAACGGAGTTGCTCTGCAATCAAATACAGTCAACAATATTTTGTTTGTGGCTGGTAAAAGAGGCTATTTGGCTGAAATTCAGACATCCAGTCCTAGTGCTCTAGTATATTTTAGGAGGACGGGGCAAGAGAAGAGGGGAGCACAGGGGTAAAAATCCCTCAGGGAGAGCCACATGGTACTACCGCAACACATCCAAAAAGGGAGAGTGGTTTCAGTTGCAGCAGACTTAGCTGTCACTTGCAGGTCTAATAGCAAAGATAGTTTGTGTGATGTGGGAAAGAGAACTGCCTTTAAAGGCAGACATTTTTCTTTTCTAGTCATTCCTCAGCATGTTCTGAAGTTATGACAAACCTGTTTTTTGCCAACCATGGTACTACTTCTGTTTTCTCAACACCAACTGTTGGTGATTTCAAGCAATAAAGCCGATCTTGCACTGATGTCAAGGAAAAGCAGGAAGGCAGATTTCACCACCTATCACTATTTCTCTACTGTTAAAGGCACACAGCATTTCATGTTATGCTGCTGGAGTGCAGGTCTGACTGCATGTCAAAATACACAGCGATTTTTCTCAGTTTTGCTGGAATCCATGGGCTAGCTTAACATGTCATATTGAGAAAACCAGAAATGTTAGGGTCCAACAGAGGAACATCCAGTTTTAAGAGCTATATTTCAAAATACATATGGCAGATTTTATTCTGAACTTGTAGAGCTCAGAATATTGAATGCTTTTTATGGAGACAAAAATAAAATTTAACTTTGGCTACTTAGATTGTGTATAAAATGCAATAATACTTCTTTTCTTAAACATTTGAGACAAGCTGAAGCTGGCATTATTTTTTCAATTACGAATGTGTAAGAATTCAAACAGAAAATTGCAAACTAAAATCAGCTGTCTTACCAATGCATCTTGAACCTCATTTTTTGAAAAGCCACAGAAAGATTCATCATCACAGGCTTTCCCAATATCCGACCTCAATTTGCGTTTCTACAAAGAATTAAATATCCTTTAACTGAAGTTATACAGAAAATAATTCACAAGTACAGTATAAGCAAATAGCTTTTTTTAAATATGGAAAAAAAATTAGTTAAGGAATTTAACAAGGAGTTTCAGAAGCAAAATTGCAAATTACCAGGCAGGTTAGGTGATATTTCAAAGGCTAGAAATAATAGCTAATCTGTTTCCAACAATTACCACCTAGAAGCACAAGTGAAGAGTGAAATGAAATTACAGCATATAGCACAGATTTATAACTACTACAAAAACCAAAAGCAGAGCAAGTAGTTTCAATCATGCACCAAACATTTACTAGTTTTAACCAATTTACATTTTTTTCAAGCTTTACTAGTACTGCACGTACAGTTTTATTTGTTCTTGTACTGTACTTACTGTGTTTGCAAAATTATCAGAACCAAAACTGTCACAACTGTCATCAGAGGATGAGGATGTTTCCATGGGAATCAGTTTTGTATTTCTGAAGGCTGTGAAGTTTTTCTTTCCTGAACGACCTCGGCGCTGAAAAACGACAACGGTAACACCGTTAAGAACAGACCTACTGTAGCACACTAGCTTTTAAGCATATCCTTCTATTGAAGTTTAGATGGTTTGAACATTTTAGGATGTTTAACAATCTTGAATGCAAGTCAGCATAACTAACACCAGCTTTGAAATAAATCCTAAAGTTAGAAACAGGAATGGGTTTTTACTCTGATACAGTTCTGATCATTGTTACAGATAAGTTTCGGTATTTAAGTATTTAAGAACACTTCTTTTGTGCCAACACACAAGTGGAAATATACACACAAATCATGTTCTATCCCAGTCTTCATAGACAGTGACAGAAAAAAGTGCAAGTACCTGAACAGTGCTCAGAGATCTGCTTTGATTTAGTGCTTTCAGTTTGAGGCAAACACTAGATACACTGCAGCTGTTCAGGAAGGGCCAGAGGATCATACCCACGAGAGATCTCAAACAACTATTCTAGACACAGCAGCTTGCTGTTTTGTTCGTTTTGTTACCATCGGTGGCAAACCATCGGTTTGAAAGATCTTTTTTAATAGGCTTCAGTTTCTCCTTTCCCAGGGAATGTTTCTCCTGGCAATGACCCATTTTATCTCCCGAGGGTGGCATCGACCCGAAGGTCAAGGCGGCGGCACCCACAAGCTTTACCGCTTCACGGGCCCACCGAAAGGGCCAAACTCTGTATAAACAGGGCTTAAACAGTAACCACCCAGGGCAACTCAGAACTCTCCGACCTCTCCCTGCACCGCTCTGCTCTCAGATTTTCGACTTTTGAGGCTGGCGAGGCACAGCACGGCAGCCGGGCCTGGCCCCACACACAAAAGAGGCCGCTCCCGGTTGTCCCCAGCCAAGGCTGAGGGAGCGCCCAGCCAGGGAGAACCCCGCGGCGAGCCGGCCGGTACCGGAGGGCCTCGGGCACGGCGCAGCCCAGCCCAGCCGAACCAGGATAGTCACCGGATAGACACACCCATCCCCTCAGGCGCGGCCCCTCACTCCCGCCAGCTCCGCGGGCAGCTTTTCCCGCCTCCCGCTAAGATGGTGCCGCCCCACACACGTGTGGCCGGGCCGCCCGCCCGCCTGTGCACCGCCCCCTCCGCCCGCCGCCTCTGCCAGGCGGGGCCGCGCCCCTGCCCCTGGCCACCGCCGTCCTATGGCCGTCACCGTCCTACGGCCACCCCCGCGCCCTCGGCCCTGGGGCAGCGGGCAAGTGCCAGGGGGGGCATTGGCCACATGGCGCCGGGCCGCTCGCCTCGCTCCGAGCGGAGCTCCTACGGCGCGTCCTCTACCCCAGTCAGACACGCAAGGGCACCGCCATGCGCGGGGGCACGGGGAGCTCCAGCACCACGGCGGGGCAGGGTGCCCGAGACTACCGGCCCGCGTGGAGGGGCTGTCTCCACGCCGCTCTCGCCGGAGTGCCCAGCGCAAAGAGCCTCCCAGCCCAAACAGCTTCCCCGGCCAACCCCACCCGCCTCCCGCAGCGCGGCGTAGCCCGGTATGCCCCAGTTCGCAATACCCCGCAGAGTCCCGGGAAAGCGCGGCTGCAAGCGCCACAGCCTTCTCTCTTCCAGCAGCAGCAGCGACCCGCGGCCGTGCGGCGATGCGGGCGGGCAGCCTCACCTGCGGGCGCGGCGGAGCCATGCTGACGATGCTGGCGATGCTGGCGGCGGGGCGAGCTCGGGGGACTGAAGGTTCGCGCCAAAGCGGCCGGGACAGCGGGGGGCGGGGCCCGGCGGCGCCTTTCCCGCGTTGCCGCCCGCGTCCTGGCAGATACAACTGTCAGCCCCCGGGGATCGGGCACCCGGCGTGATCGCCCCGCGGTCATCCCATAACCCTTGCTGAGGAGCTCGTCAGGTCTCCCGGGACGTCCCCAGAGGGGCCAGTACAGAGGCCCATTTCTTTTTTCCTATTCGCGGTGTGGGGTTTGTGGAGCTGCAAGGGCCTGGCCCTGTGGCGCGAAAAGCTCCCGGCCGGGACGCCGCGCGAACCGGAGGGGCGGGGGGGGGGGGGGGGGGGGGGGGGGGGGGGGGGGGGGGGGGGGGGGGGGGGGGGGGGGGGAAGGAAGTTGGGGAGTGGGCCCAGGCCCGCCCCGCCGGGGCCTCTAATTATATTTTCTTTTTTAATAAATTTTATATTCCAAACGTGGATTGGTTTTCACCACTCTGAAATAATCCCCCAAACCTGTCAGTTTTCAGGGGCAGCAGGGGCTTCTCCATGCAGGAAAGGTCCTGTGTCCCGGCTGTCCTTTGGTACTACAGCAGTGCAACAGAATTTAGCAAAGAAGTTGGCTGCCTTGCCCTTTGCAAACAAAGTACTATCTGAAGACAGATCAAAATAGATCGGTGATTTTAAAGCATTTTAGGTAACATTTATAATAGTACATTAAATCAAGTGCAGCCATTAAACACAGTAAAATAACTGCTGTGTGGTATTTGGCAGCAAGAGTAATGGGAGAAGCCCTGAAAAAGCTGTATGGGATTTGTGGCCCTAGTGTTTGCTATAATCCTCTGTTTATCCCGCGGTTTGAGCAGGGCTCAATAACAGTGCAACTGTTGCTGCTGAGCGTTCCCAGGTGCCTTCCTGACAGGCGAGTCCCCACCGCAATCCGCAGGAGGGAAGAGGCCCCATGCGCGTGCAGCCCGCACACAGACCTGTGCCCGTGTAAGGCAAACCACGGATCATCTCAAAAGCCAAAGCCTGTAAATAGGCTATAGCACAATAGAGTACAAGAGCCCTGGCGGAGGTGTTCTGTTTTCTGTGGGCATTATTCCTCCTGCACACACTGCAATCTGTCATGTAAAAGAATCTCCATTTTAAATAAGCCCATAATTACGTACTTACCTGCACTGCTGGCTTCTCAGCACATGCACAAAGGCAGATGAACTAAATAGGTTCTCCAGAGACCTGACCACCCTCCATTCTTCTAAATCCACATTAGTGGAGGACTGCCACCCAGACGGTTTCCAAACAAGACAGCTTAGTTGGGAAGAGGGGGGTGTTTTCTGAATTTTGATGTAGTTTTACTTCTTTCAGAACAAGAAATCTACCAATACTAATTTACTTATATGGAAGAAGAGATCCAGTTTATCAACAGTAACAGCCTAAACATCTTGAATCACTATTATCAGAATTTTACTAGAAAAGTAGCCAACCTTCACAGATTTTAAGAGCATCATATGAAATGTTATGGAGCACCGATGGTACTGGCTGAAGCAAAACTTCAGACTGCAGTTAATTTTCCATTTAATGCTTAATGCAAACAGCATTCTTCAAATCTTCAAATTACGTATGTAGTCAAATGGGTTTAAAATTAATAGGCCAGAGCAGGGACTTTGTGGTGAATCTGGACAGGACATTTTGTGAACTGTATTTTCAGCTCTTTTTCTAATATGTGAAAAATAATTATTTTATTGAAAATTGTGTATGTTAGCTTATACTCTACAGAGGACTGGGGAGAAGGGAGTAGGAAAGGGAAAAGAGAAATTGGAAGTACATGAAGGGCAGGGGCTTCCCTTCCTACAGCACACAGCAAGGGTATGAGAAAATGAAGATCTGTAACTCAGGTGATGGCTGTTGTGACCTGTGCCACCGTGATTTCTCCTGTTTTCATCTTCGTGCCCTTCATGCCACTGCTCTGCCCTGCAGGGCCCAGATGCCTTTAGTGGATGGGCAGAACAAATTTACCAACTGGCTTTACCCTGTGTTTGTCAAGATATAGGCAGCACCACTGTCCTACATCTAGCTATTAACAATAACTGAAGAACTGCAAAGCTGAAGCCAGGTGAGCATTTTATTTTCAGCCACACTTAAATTAGGTTAATGTGAGTGGAAGAGAACATCTCTGCCTGTTCAGTCCCCAGTCTGGGGCCTGTATGGCCTGCCTAATGCTACCAATGAGCTCACCCCTCAGGACTCACATGCCAGCAAAGATCATCTAGAGTGTTTTATCAAGTGTTTCCAAGAAAATAGTCTGTTAAGTTCTTGTCTGTCCTTGAAATGAGTTGTCAGTGCATGGTAGTGGCCCTTGGAAGATGTGCTAAGGGAATGGGCTGAAATTACAGAGGGACATGCAGTAGATCGAGTGTGCAACACTTTCTGCATCCATCTGGGGGAATCAAAGTTGTTTACATATTAGGAGTTTCAAGCAGTAGCAAGAACACGGAGCTCCAACAATAGCTCCATTGTCAGAAGCAAGAAATGTGACCTTTGGTCTGCTGGGACGAAGGACAAGCACTGTCCTCCATGTCACCCCGCAGATTTTGGCTGTTGGCATTGTAACACAACTTTTCTCTCTGGAGGCTGGACTCCTGCTGCCCCGTCCCTGGCTCTCTTACACACTTCCTATCTTAACTATGGACAACATACTTTATGCTCCTTTTCCTTTTTTTTCCCCCCAGATTGTAGCAATGCTGTTGTGAATGAGTGTTTCAGGATACTCAGAGAATCACTGGCAAAGGTATTGGCAAAAGCAGGTTTAATATAAAAGTGAAAGCACAACAAAGTTCATTGGCAATGTTTACTCTTCTACTTACTAGATGGTTAAAGCACACAGAGAAAAATTGTACTGAAATCTAAAATCAATCAATCCAAAACTAAAACCAACCAAAAATTTTCTACACGGAAGAAGGGTAAGGATGAGAAAGGCTAAGGATAAAAAGGAATAAGGGAGACATTTCCACTGAGTCACAAGGTTCAGAGTAGTTTTACCTCCTTGTCAAACTTAGCCCCAGACTTGAACAACAGTTTAGGCCTAAAAGTTTTCAACAACACTTAAACTTAACAGAACTTAATTGATAGCTTAATGTACACAATTTAACAAAAGATTCTTATAGAATTTTCTATAGCTCATCAGCAACTCAATTATTGGCCTAACTTCCTTATGAATCTAGGATACTTAGGAATCTAGGAGAGCAACATTCATACTACATTTTCTATGGCATATTCACACTCACACACACACAGACTTAAACGAGTATGTACAAGATTTGTACATACACTTGAAAAATTCCTCTTGAATTTAGTGAAGTACTCATGCCAGATGCCTTTGCATCTTCTCAGTAGGTTGAGCCTCAAGGAGTGGGGGTATCAGCCCAGGCTCCATTGTTAGTGTTCAGTGGTGGGTCCTCCAAGTACAGCAAACTTGAGAGTTCTCTGGCTCTGAGAGGCATCTCACTCAGAGGGAGATGCTGGTCTTAGCCTGCTGTGGTCCAGGAGGGCTCAAAGGATCTCACTTAGGACTGCTGCTTATAGGCTTGCAAGACAGTTGGCTTTAGTCATAGTAATTTTTCATCCTGGCCTCAATTTGGGTCAGTACTTTTCTTTGAAAGTCTGATAAAAATATCATTCCGGTTGGGTTGTTTTTCAGGCAAGAAAAGTCACTTTTCAAGTCTGTTCTTTAAAAACTAGGAGCTCACTAGGCAGCATAAGTTCCTAGAAGCAGATAGAGTTTCTGATAAGCTCAATCGAAGCTAAGCCCAGGTGCTGTTTGTCAAGGTCAAGGCCTAATGAGTATTTCTGAGATCATAGCACGGCCTGAGGGTGGGGATGTACCACCACACCTGCCTAAAAGAGCATGTGGGTACATTAGTTAATGTTTGTGCGATGCTAGAAATTATTGTGATGAGACCTGCGCAGACACATATTTATAGAAGTAAGCATTTCGGAAGAAAGGGAGAGTTTGGATTCTCATGGCCACAGAGCACTCGTGGCACAACGCAATAACCTGTATCTTAGCTCCATAGAAAAGAATAAGATTGCAGCCACTAATGACAGTAATTAAAAATTTCTATAAGAGCTGTCCAATCACCTCTTCAATTGCTCTATCTGAGCAAATTATAGTGTGTTATTGAAACCATTAGTGCAATAAAATGAAGCTAAAAACATTTTGCATTAAAATAATCAGACATTGATTTATGATGTAAATTGTAAATCGGTAACCTATAACACACACTAATTGTTTTTCTCTCTCCTGTAAGGTGTGTTTCTTGAAAAGATCTGATCAAGCAAATCTATTTGTTCACATGTCACCCTCCAGTGGCTCACACTACTATACATGACATAATAAGGTGCATAATCAGGTAACCTGCTATTGATTGCAACCCAGAAAGGACACGCCTGTTCTTATACAGAAGCAGGAGGATGGCCACTTTTGGAGATTTAATTATAGTTAGACCTCTACATGTTTGCTGGATGTCAATTTTTATGGAGTACCTTTTAATGTAAGTACTTGGCACTGTGCTCTGATAGGTAGAATCAGATTTTGTAAAATAAATATAAATTTAAATATTTATAGTGTATGATCAGTTTATATAGTAAACAAATCAGTTTATTGTAAGATCAACTGCACCAGCTCCACAAAATACCTCCCCAATGCAATTAGTTTATTTTTCCTTTTTCATCTCTCCAAGGAGAAATAGATTTTCTTTTTTTATTTTGTCAATTTTTTATCTCCTTGTGCTTTGCTGTAATTTCCTTATTAGTAAAGGCTGGGTGCAAATGCATCCTGCATGTTGAATTGAAGGTGGTCACATCTGATCCTATTCAATACTGTGTTTCTTTGACACTGGTGAGACCACAAAAATGAAGAAAGTAAGGGAAGGAAAACTAAAGGAATAATACAGTTCAGTGAGAGAAAAAGTGTGATAGACACTATATTCATCAGTGCACTAAGAGAATGGATAAAATGTGGTCAGTTTTGATAGAAACCTTAATGATTATTCCAAGTATAAGTTGGAGCAGATCATTTGGAGCCCAGAGCATTATGATCCACATTACAGGAGTTTAATTACAATGCTCATTTATGTATCCTGTAGCCATTCCACAAAGCGCATAGCAAAAGATATTCATCAAAAGTAGCTGTTGTTGATACATAGTAGCTACTCTTAAAAGCTCAAGATTCCAGCCCTTTCATTGTTTTTGATTTGTAATTCTCTTTGAAAACACAAATTACATCTGGTCTCATCATAAAGAAATCACTTACAAAATATTCTACAAATGTATAGGTGTGGGAAACAGGAGGCTATCAGAAAATAATCAGAAATACTTACTGCAGTCTGGTTTTTTTCCCTGTTATACAAGCTTTGCCACTGCCACTTCGGAAAAGTTGATTTGCATTGCCTCCACCAACCCTCAACAAAATGTGGTTGCTGGGAGAGGGTGGGAGTGGGGGGACAAGTGGTGGCATGACCTTCTCTGGGAGGATCTCTCTCCTGGCACCTCTCTCAGGAGGAACGAAGTGGGAGGGGCAGGTAGAAAGCCTCCCTCAGGGCTGGCTACTGCCTGCCAGGGGGTCCCCAGGGCACATCTCAAGTTTTCAGGCCCTTGGGTTTTTTCACAGCATGAGAGAAACGCCCTCTCTGCTGCAGGAAGCCCTCACCTTGCTTGCCAAGGCAGAAAACCAAATGTACGTGTTGAGCCCCAGATATATTAAGCCACTTCATTCCACATAGCTCAGTGTTCACGGCTGCCGCCCGTCAGCACCTGCCAAACTGCCTCATGAAGTTTCCTGGAGGAGGCTCCGACCCTCGGGCAGGGGGTGGCAGGGGTGGGAGCAGTGGGCTGCAGCTGCTGGGGGCTGCTGTGGGCTGGGGAGAGCATAGTGGTGCTGGAGTGGGAGCTGCAGGGAAAGGCTGCGCGCTTTAGCCCCAGCTCTCATTTTTCCCAAGCCGTCACTGCCTCCCAGCACTATTCCTCTGTCCTCTGAGACATTAATCTCAAATGCCATGTATTTACATGTACTCAAGTGTGATCTTGGCAGACCCTTAATAGTGTTATTGCTGTAATAGACTTCTCCTCTCTAACCTCTAACTTTTTGCAACAAACTGGCTCGAACTACTACACTTTGGCAATTCATTAGATAAGAATATTATGTAAAAACCCTTCTATGGTGGACACATACACAGAAAATAATTCTGTCAGATATAATTTTCAGAGGTAGCAGAGCTATTTGGTTCCATTTTAGTGACATTAGATGTCAGGGGGTCTCTTAGTTCGGGGTTTTTCCACAGTTACATAAGCCACTGCCCATCTTTCCCAGGCAAAAGTAATAATTATTATTTTTATGTCAAAGTGCATTATATAGCACAATCAAAAAAATTAATTGTGTATACTTGATGCACACTCTAGTCTTCTTGGCAGTAAATTTGCAAGTTTCAGAAAGTCTTAAAATACATGGAGTTTGATCCTCAGCAGCATGAGCTGAGCTAGAGAGGAGGACAGAGGTAAGGGGTGCCCTGCCTGGAGGCTTCTGCTCTAAGTGGGGAAGGACAGAGGGTTTAAGAAACCTCTGCTCCTTAAATCAGCTCAGCAAGCTGGCAGATTGTGGTCAGCATGCTGTCAGACAAGGCCAACTGCTAGAAAATAATCATCAGGAGCAGGTAAGATAGAGCAAAGCTGCAGTAGCAAATACTTTCTTTAAAAAGTAAACAATGTCCAAAAACACCCATCCACATTTCACACCGGTGCCAGCAAGAAAGCAGATTCTCATGGGGAATTAACTCAGCCATGGCAGCACTGGGGGGAGGCACAAACGGGCACTCTCCCCTCCCAGCTGAACAGGAACTGGATTTTCTTTCTCTAGCATTTCATGGAAATAAACCAATCAGCAGCAACACTGCCTGTGAAACCCAGCCCTGAGATCCACCATTCCTGGGAGCATGGCAGTGTTTTGTCCACTGGCATGGCATCACTGAGATCTGGGTGTAGGTGGGGAGACCGAGGGGCTGCTGGCATTTCCCCTGCTGAAGGCAGGTCTCAGCAATATCAGCACAGGATGAGCAGGTCCCACAGTCATCCCATCCCATCCCATCCCACCCAGGCAGTATGACCAGATTTCCCCCAGCACAGAGGCACAGTGAGCCATGGCATCAGTTGGACAGGCTGAAACCCTGGCAGCAGCATTCCCCAGCAAAAAGGGGTCAGATGGCCACCTCATCTCCCCTCTCTCATCATTATTCTATTTATCTTCCTGACAAGCGCAGTGCAGGCATTACATTTTGGTACGTCTGTCAAAATCAATATGAGGCCAAAGCAACAACTAGAAATGTTGGAAGAGAAAGAGATTACAGTGCTGCCCAAATCAAACACTGAGCTGGGGGAAATTCCTGCCCAGGCCATAGAAAGCAACCTCTGCAGCTCCACTGCCCTGAGATGGATTGACGGTCTACTCACGTCACAAGGGGTTAGGGTGAGGAACAGCCTGGAGTTGTTTACGATTTTGGGGCCTCCTCGACAGTTCAGTGGGCTGTCACCCCTGTGACAATCATCCTTCTGTGAATTTGCTCCTCCAACTCAGGCAGATGAGCTGCTGTAAAAGCCCTCTGAGCAGCTCTCCCCCTTTCAGAAAGACCTTTGGCTCTCGAGCAAGCTGCATGTTGGCAGCCCCCTTGTGCCCTGGCTGTATGTGAACAAAAGCAGCCTGTGTTTGCAGGGCTGGGCAATGTTTTTGCTCTAGGGAGTCTCCAATTCACGTGCTGCCCACTATGGTTAGGAGCAGGGTTTCACAGGCACTTGAATTGGCAGCTGGTTTACAGCACATGTCTCTGACCTGCAAGACACAGGGAACAAGTGCCCTGAGAGTGCAGTTGCTTGACCCCTTCCCTGTACACAGGGAAGCCACAACAGGCTGCTGATCTGGCTGTCAGTCCCTCTGTAGAGCAGGTTCCCAGGACACTCACCTCTTACAGCCAGTCCTTCTGATGGTAGTGACAGAACACCAGTGCTGCTGGGGAAACTTGTGTGCTTAGGAAGCCAAAATCCACCAGGGTCAGACCCAGCTCTGGGATATCTTGCCAAGCTAAAGAAGAATGATTGCTGACCTCAGTGGTAAGTGTCTGCTCTCCATCACCCTCCTGTTTTTCTTTTTTTTTTTGGAGACATCCTTAGGTATATGGGAGAGACAAAAAAAAAAAAAAAAGGAAAAAGAAAGGAAGGAGGGAGGGAAGAAGGGAGGGAGGTTTGTATCTGACTTTGTAAACATTCTCTCCATTGGATGCAAATACTCACTTTGGACGTCCAGTTCTGAATTTGCCTTCATGAGCTCTCTGCTGTTTTTCATCATCCATTCCAGCAGCCATCTCAGAGCTGGCTTCTTATAATTCAGAGCCTTTTACACCCTGGAAAAGGAAAATGCAGGTACCTTTTGGGGATTAAGAAAACATCAACATCCATGCACATAGAAAGGAAGACCAAGAGAAAGGAAAGCCAGAAAAGCGAGGGGCAGTTCTACAGCAGCGATATTTTGTGCCACTTGCAGAATCAACCATGGAGGGAGGATGTAGCAGTTGTAGTACTGCCAATGATATGTGTGTGGATGGAGGGCAGTGTGTCCAGCTCCTAGTGTGCAAATCTAGATATACTGGTACTTAAATATGATTGGCTTTAACAGACTTCTAAGAAAACTCTAAGTAAACATGGCATGGCTCCTTTCCAAAGAAAATTTGCTGCAGTGTAGTTGCCCAAGACAGTCATCTTTTTGACATTGCTGCGCATGGTCTTCTAGGTGCATGTTGGTAAAACATGAACAAAAATGGCTCAGCTTCATAAAGTACTGGGGGGTGAAAATGTAAGCACATTTTTTATTTATAATGAATTAGCACCAAGATGGGGAGTAGCCACATTAAGAGTGACAAAAACAAGATGGAAAACTAGATCTTGCTGACTTTTTTTTTTTACAAGTTCCCTGACTGTTGCTTTAACCAGCAATGCTGGTGCAGCAAAAGGATTTCTAATCAGTCACTAATGTCTGATTGTTTAATTTTAACAGGCATGATCAATACCAACCATTCCTTCTTTAAATGCTAATGAACACTGTAATACAACAGATGTGGAGAAACAGTACATTGCAGATTAAAATTAGGCAAGGCATTAAATTGCTTACAAACAGCAGAGGAATCCTGCTGGACATCTTGACAAACAATCACAGGCAGCTGATAAATCCTGAACTGCCACCACAAGCCCACAGTATCTCAGGCTCATACAACTACACAACTATCCTGATCACCATAGAAAAGAAAGGTACCCTTCCAAACTCTTGCAATTTCTTTCTTGGGACTTGTGCAGGCCTAAACGTGATTTCTGAGATGTATATGCAAATTTTAATAACACAAGCACATCTCTAACAAGTACTCTCAGGTGCAATTACTATTAGTTGGTATCCTCCAGACCAGTTTGGTCATGGTAAGAAATGTCAGGTAAGGATCACCAACCTAGAAAAAAATGCCAGTTCCCTGATAACTTGTAACACGCAGTGCTAATTTGTCCACGTCCCCCAAATTAGTTGGCAGACTCTGTAAACCAGAGCCAGAAGCTGGGTTACTAACTAGCTTTCAGCCAGTTTGAATCCACAGGAAAGTGGCAAACTTTGTTACCACAGGGCTTCACCTGCAACCAAATTCAAGTCAAGGTAAAGCTTCTATTTGTTCTGCAATTGACTGTTGTCAGTGTAAAAGGTGCTTAAATGACAGAGATCCAATTCCTAACACCTGGTATCAACTGTGTCCTGCTTCATTATTTTTGGTGGACTGTGTCCTGAATTCATGAAATGCAAGTCCCAGTTCACTCTTGGTAGGTGTTGGAAACTCACCACAGGGCTCAGCCCTCACTGGGGCTGGTGGCAATCAGAGGGAGCAGAGCTGCATGTACCCCAGGAGTGACCTTTGTGTGGAGCGGGGAATTTACGTGTCCTTTTGAATGTTCAGTGACAGGGCTATGATGACAGCTCCCTCACCCTGAGGGGGTGATGTGCCAGCAGCTCTGCCAGCATTGCCCACAACTGTGTGCCAGCGAGTACCGCCTGGGATGGATGGTAGGTAGCACCTTGTTCAAAGGCATCTCTAATTTACAGTTTCTTGGCTTTCAGAGGGTACCAGGCATTGCTTTGGGTTCAGCTTCCTTTATCTGTTTCTTCCTTTTTTTCTCTCTTGCATCTTGTGAAACCCAAACTTTTTTTCCTCCTTTTTAATTGTGTGAAATCAACGTGGAGTGAAAAGGCCACGAACAAACTTTCTGACGCCAACTGAGTTTAAGCTGTGTCTTTGTTCTCAGCAGAGCTAAAGACCACATTAATCGGAAACTTTGCTGACCTCGTCTTTACTACCTGAAGACTGAAAGACAAAAGCAACACAGTCTGGCCACATTTAAAAATTCAATTAAAAAATGCCAGCTGCCCAGGGATAAACATTATCGTAGACCTCAGTAGGGTTAGTTGTAACTAGGATAAAAGAAATGCCTTTTTCTCACTCTATTTTTATTATTTTTTTCCCAAAAGAATAAAGCCTAGGTTTTGATACTCCTTCTGATTATGACAACTGTGTATGTGACAGAGTGTGCTCAGTGGTGGTGGGTAGGTAGTGCTAGGGCTTTTAATCAGGAGCAAAGTAAGAAATTCCTGAGAGGGATGGCAAGCTGAAAGTGGAGAAGTGAAGCTACTGAACTGGACTTAAAGCAAAATGTCCCTGTGTTCCCCTTTTTTCCAGACTATGCTGGTCTGATAAAAAAAATTATCTTTTCCTATAGCCCTGGCAAAAGCAGACCAGACAAGGGTTGAGGAGACCCTGCTCAGAGCTGGACTTGGCATCTGGAGGCAGAAGTGAGGTAAGGGGAGGGGTAACAACTCCTTCCCTAAGGATGAAACAGAGAGCCTTTTGTTGTGGCACTTGGCTGTGCCTTACTGATTTTATTATTGAAATAGTAAGCAAATGAGTGGATATCCAGTCAGCTGAGAACATGAGCAGCCAAACAGAGGGGAGAAAACCAAATGAAATCCCTTGGCACTGACAGTGACAGGAGGAGAGGCAGCAGCTCTCCCTGTCCAGCGGCAGGTCCCGGGCCAGCTGGGTACCGGCTTCAGTGCAGCAAATTAAATAGGAGCAGGCGCATCTTCTCTAGGTTGAATGTTCAGTTACAAAAAGGGCCAAATTCCTCTCTCAGAACATCCTCCGGCCCCGCCAGCTCCCCCTGGCCCTCTCCTTCCCCGGCTTGCCAGCAGCCTGCCTGTGGGGCTTCCTCGAGTGCTGCACCTTTATCCACCCGCCCTCGCTGGCTCTGCTCTCCCCTTCGCCCCTCCTGGGCTCGCTCTCACCCTGTGGGGGCATGCCCGGGATGGCCGTGGGCTGTGGAGGGGTGCGGGGGTACCTGTGGTGCTGGGAGGCCGGAGGGGCCACTGGCAAAGAAGTCCTGCTGGGTCTTCCCAGTTGTCGGGGGGGCACCGGGGAGCTGGTCCCACTGCGCCGCCCGCCCGAGGAGCTGCGGGAGTTACCGCTGTGGGGGGTGTTTCTACCTTTGCCAGCAGACCTGTCTCTCTCCGAAGGGGTGTCCGAGGCTGTGCTGGAGGCACTGCTGCCTTTTGAGTTCAGATGCAGATTCGAGAGGTTTCTCATCAAACTGTGTGAGATGGGAGAAGAGTTCCTGGAGTGGCTGATGGATGTGAACTGGTGATTGACGGGAGCGGGTGTCCTCCTGACGGCTGCAGCGTAGGAGTCTTGGCTGTGAAGGTAAGGCAGGTAGTGGGTGACTGTGGTCGGGCTGTGGGGGTGGCCGTGCTGGTGAGAAATGGCTTTTGCTATCTGATGCATGCGCAGTGTCTGCATCCACTGACTGTCAATGCCTGGCAGGGAAATGGAAACAAAGTCAGCTTTCTGTGAATTGATGGAAAACTACTCTCAGGTTTACCAAGGGTGTGAGGTTAGTACCAGCGTTTCTCTCACAAGAACCTCAATACATCTCAAACCACCCTTTCCCCCCCAGCCTTGAAGCATACAGTCCTGGGTTTGAGTATGTTCAGTGTTATGGTTGAACATAATGTTGGACTTTTTAAATAGCAAGTGATACAAGTATTTCTGATGCCAGTGCAGATTATGGAGCTTAGACTACAAGATACTTACTGAACCATCCATTTGGCTGTTCAGGTGGGTTCCCCTTCCCAATGTTTTTAACCCAATCTGGGTTTAAACATACCCTGTGATGCTCTAGGCAACCTCAGCAGATTTCAACACAGCTTTCTTTAGAAAAGAACCTGGAGACCTCCAGAGTAGGCACAGAGCGGGCACTCCAAAGTTCCAGCACTGCTGCAGCATCACCTTCCACCTCCATCTCTCCCATCCAGCACAGTCATACTGTTTGCAGCCCAGCACAGAGAGGAGGCAGAGCCAGTGCAAATCCCACCTGCAGCAGCCAGATTTATCTCCTCTTACTCCAATTTCTTTTCAAACTGCTACAGACCACAACAACTGGAGCTACTTCAGTTGTTAGTGTTATTACAAATTTAGAAGTCAAACCACTTTGCATCCAGCTTCATGATGGACGCAGAAAATCATCTCTGTATGTGGAAAAGCCAGTGAGGCAGCAGACTTCAGCCAGGATAGCTCAGACAGTGCTTAACTGTGAACAACTCAGGGTATTACAGTTCCCTCTACACCTACTGTGACAGCCCTGGGGTTGTAACAAAAGTTGTAGCTCTCAGAGATCAGACTGAAGTGGTTTTGAAAGTCAGTCCTGCGGTTTCCATGAAAGCCTTTAGCAAATACAGTAGTAGTAAATTTTCCATTTGAACTGCAAAGGCTGCCTGGTTTGCTACTTTGTGGGTAGAGCAGAGACCAGGAATTCCTCTTATCCAAGGCCACAGCTCTGGCCAAAAATCCATGGGGAGCAGCTAAAATTATTTTGCTCCAGAGGGGTTTGAATGATTTGTCCTTAAATATCACTAATATCATTCCAACAGGAAAGCATAACCCTCACTGCCTCTTGCTGGAACGCTGCATTGACTGTGGGGAGTTTTGTGGGAGCTGGGTAGGGGCTCTGTCCTCGTTAGGATTGCTCCTGTTAAAACTAATGGATAGTCTCTTTCATTTCTCCTTTCCCCAGACTTTGTTTGAATCTAAAGAGATTTAAATCACTTCAACCTAATGTCAAATATGTCAAAAGGAAACTGTCTTTCGTGTCATCGCTTGAGTGTGACACCAACACTGCAGACAGCTCCACCTGCACTGAGATGAACCTTCTTTCAGAGAAAGACAGATGGAAATTGCCTACTTGCTTCTTAAACTCTTTAAAACTCATGTTTTCAAAAGAAACCTGCATGCTGAAACATACTTGATAGACACTATCTGCTCTGCCATTTCCCCATGCCCTCCTATGAAAGGCTGTGGATGTAAATTACAGACCTCGTAAACCTGGAAGCAGCAGGTTGAGGATTCAAGTTTGGGTCTTCATTTGTTATCAACACTCGTGTAGCTATCACAAGCCCCAAGGGACCAAAGCCAATGCTGTCCTGAACAAGGGGCTCCCTTGAGGCTGTTCAGTCCTTGCTCCTTACAGCCAACCGTGGTTGCCAGCCCAGGCACCAGCTGCCCAGCAAGGATCTGCCAGCGTGCCCTGTGGGACTGCCTCTCATGGACCAGGGGGCTTCTCCCTCACATGCTCTCTGAGCCACCAACTGCTTGGATTTGGTGGGTATTTTTGAAACCTGGGGTTTTAAACCTGCAGCTTCTGAGGCTACAACCGCAGTATGTGTCAGCACTGGCCACATCTCTTACAGGAGGTACCCTTTATCCAAACACAACATCTGTGCAAAGCTGCCTGTGTGCCGGGTGGCTAAGGGCAGGAGGGAAGAGCTGGTCAAAGCACTTCTATTGAGTTTGGGTTGCAGGGAGAGAAAGCCAGGTAAAAAGCTGATGAAAGTACTGGCTCTCCAAGTTCTCAAAACAGCTGTGGAAAACTCCATTATTCCTAACAGGGTAGAGCTGGGTAGAGATGTGTGAGATTGTCTCCTTTAGCAGCAGATGCATTCCTAACATTCTGGTTAAGAAACTAATTTTCACCCAAGGCCCTGCACACTTTGTGTGGGTGCTGTAATTTAGTCCAAATCCTTTTGATATGCCAATACACATGGCTCCACAAAGCTGAGTACTTGTTTCTCTTGGTGAAGAGGGGCAGATTTTGGAGAAGGTCAGATTTGCCAGCTGATTCCCAATCCAGTGCCCACAAGCAGACTATGGTGAAAAGAGGCCTGCTATCATGAAAAGGCTACTGTGGATGTGTGTGCATGTTCCAGAGAGTGGAAGAAGCCTGGGCCACAGGCAGAAACACCTCTCCCAATGACCTTATGCACTGGAGGGGATGAAAAGGTTGAACCAAAGCTGACCCAGTGACAGGGTTGAAAAAGTACCAGAATTTAGAGCTGCTTACTACTGTGAAGCATTCTGGGGTTGGAGCAGAAAAACCTGACCTCTATGTCTGCTATTGATGTGCAAGTGACTACAGCAGACAAAAGATTTGTAGCTTATCTCTATGGACTGCTTCCAGAATGCTTCCTACAGTGGCACACAGGCCATCCCCCTTACCCTTCACCCAGGTAATACACAGCCCTACTAGAGGGGGTGCAATAATGGATCTGATGGTCACCAATGTAAGCAAGCTAATTGGGGGCATCAAGATTGGAGGCAGCCTGGGCTGCAGTGACCATGCACTAGTGGAGTTTGCAGTCCTGAGGGATATCAGTCAGGTAAAAGAGTAAAGTTGGGCTCCTGAACTTCAGGAAAGCAGAATTCCAGCTCTTCAAGGAGATAGTCAGTAGAAACTCCTGGGGACAAGGGAGTGAAACAGAGCTGGCAGATCTTTAAGGAAGTCGTTCACAGAGTGCAAGAGTTCCCCAGGAGCAAGAAATTGGGCAAGGAAGGCAGGAGACTGGCATGTCTGAGTAGGGAACTACTGCTCAAACTAAAGGGAAAGAAGAAAATGCACAGGGAGTGAAAAGAGTGTAGAGATGAAGTTCGGTCATGTAGGGATCCTGTGAGGAAGGCCAAGGCAAAGCTGGGATTGAAGCTGGCAAGGGATGCAAAGAATAACGAGAAGGGCTTCCACAGCTACTTCCCTGATAAACAGGTGTACTCCCCTAATAAGCAACGCTGGACAATGGGTAACAACAGATGAGAAGAAGGCTGATGTATTCAACAATTTTTTTGCCTCAGTCTTCAGTGTCAGCCTCTCTTCCCATGCCTCTTGAGTGGATGGACAGCAGGATGAGGAGTGGGGGAGCAAAATGCTTCCTGATTTTTACATCAGTGGACAAGGGAAGGGCTACAGATGTCATTTATCTGGACTTCTGTGAAGCCTTTAACATGGTCCCCCACAACACCCTTCTCTCTAAATTGGAGAGAGATGGATTTGATGGGTGGACTGTTAGGTGGATAAGGAATTGGCTGAATGGTTGTATCCAGATGGTAGTGGTCAACAGCTCTTAGTCCCAGTGGACATCAGTGACAAGTAATGTCCCTTAAGGGTCCATATTGGGACCAGTGTTATTTAATATCTTCAGTAACGACAAAGGGATCAAGTGCATCCTCGGCAAATTTGCAGTGACACCTGCAGCTGACATGCCTGAAGGATGGGATGCCATCCAGAGGGACCTAGAAAAGCTCAAGAAGTGGTGCCATGGGAATATTGTGAGGTTTAACAAGATCAAGTGCAAAGTACTGCACCTGGATTGGGGCAACCCCAGTATCAATACAGTCTTGGGGATGAACAGATCGAGAGCAGCCCGGCTAAGGACTCACCAGCACTCTTTAAGGTGATGGTCAATGAGAAGCTGGACATGAGCCAGCTGGGGCACTTGCAGGCCAGAAAGCCAAACGTGTCCTGGGCTGCATCAAAAGCAGATCAGCAGATTGAGGGAGGTGATTCTGCCCCTCTACTCCACTTTCCTGAGACCCCACCTGGAGTGCTGCATCCAGGTTTGGGGTCCCCAGCATAGAAAGGACATTGGCCTGTTGGAACGAGTCCATGGGAGGGCCCCCAAGATTTCCTCCCTGGAAGGAAAGGCTAAAAGAACTGAGACTGTTCAGCCTGGAGAAGAGAAGGCTTCTTGATGACCTAATTGCAGCCTTCCAGTACTGGAAGGGCGCCTACAAGAAAGAGTGGTATTGACTTTTTGCTGTTCACCAGAGAGGTGGTGGATTCACCGTCCCTGGAGGTTTTTAAGACGAGGCTGGATGTGGCACTGAGTGTCATGATCTAGTAATCACAGTGGGGTTGGATCAAAGGTTGGACTTGATGATCTCGGAGGTCTCTTCCAACCCAGTTGATTCTATGATTCCTTACATATGCCCTGCTCATGTCAACAATAAAGTTTGCACGTATTGACTTACCTGAGTCAGATCTGCTCCGTGAATTCCCCTCTGAGTTGGCGACCGAGGTCTGTATCATGAGTTGTACTGTCTCAACCTCGTCCTGTGCTTTCACCTTGCTCCAGCAGATAGCTTGGATGTGCCTGGTGCTTTTGGGAGCTCTAACATCACTCTAACAGAAAGAACACAAAACACAAGTGAGGACATAACAACACACAACACACTGAGCTCTCCTAAGAGGGAACTTCCATGAGTGCCTGGGCAGCAGCAGTGTTTTCAATAAAGGATCTATTTTGCAAACCACTTAGCCAGTTCTCGAGTATTTTTAGACTCTATAGAATTTTGGCCGGTACTTTGTGATTATGCGAAAAATGTGGTAGAGAGTAACTGTTTAAATTCTTGTACCATGTGGAGGAAAGATCTGAAGGCCTTCCTCTACAAACACAAAAATACATTTTACTAGCTCTGTTAATGTGAACATCAAATGTGCACTGCTAAAAGAGGTAGGTCTAAGCAGGTATTTTTGCAGGGGAACCCCCAACTAAATTTTCAAGGAGCACCAAACTCTTCAGTTTGTTGTTATGGACAACGAACTGCTGTCCTGTGAGAAACTTCAGGGTGAAAGAAAATGACTACTCTTCACATCTGAGATTTCCATGTCCAGAATTTCCATGTTTCTCCATCACTGCCTGAATAAGGACAGAGCTGGAATCTCAGTTATTAGCCTCCTTCTGATGCACAGCATTGGTCTTTATAAAAACACAATTGTAAGTAAATGTAAACCCTTTTAACAACAGCTAATTTCTATCATATCAAACTGTATTCCAGATTTTATCTTATTTTACTCTTGATTTCTCATTTTCTTTCTTCTCCTGTTGCTTGTCTGCTCTACTAATTAGCACTTCATTGAAAAGATAAAAACCAGCCTCTCCAAGTAATGCAAAGAACACTGACCATTACACTTCAAGCAAAAGGAGCTTTCCTCCTTGAGAAGTAGAGCCGTCCCAGGCAGCAGTCTGAGGCCACTGTCTCTGTAAACTTCATTCAGCTTTTGCTCTGAACTTTAGATTTTACAATTAATTGCACGCTGCTGAGACTTGATTATAGGATATAACAAAGCCAGAGGATGCTGTTTCCACACCTCCTGTGTAGGTTTTATCTTGGATCAACAATTTTATTTGTTTCTTAGAGCTTACCTCATATGTAACAACACATTCTACAGACTGGTGTTCTTCTATCCCCACAATCCATTTCTCCATTACAAATGGTGGCTGAAAAAAACATGGTGGGAGTTTTATAAGATGCTCTTCACCTCCTGCCTTGTTTTTGAAACACCCCAAAGGCATTTCCCACATCTGCCTCTTTTCATCCATTCCCATATTGCTAACATCAATACCTTTCTTAAAATTTTATGAGATAAAGTAAAGTATTCTGGAAATCTTTACTTCCTTGTTTACAAAAGTAAACCAAGAAGAGATTTCCATATGTAACAGGCAGGAGGTAAGACAATGTGGAATGCTTTCATGGGGACATAAACCCTTTTTCAATTTTATGCATGTACAGGGTTTCTTTGGCTAGATTTATAGAGGCCAGCAAGAACAAATACCTAGAGATTCTCTGAGATATTCCTTGACAAAATAAAAAATGCTGAATTATGTGAAACATTAATGTTACTGTATCTAGTTGTTAATTTATTTAAGCCTTTTTTTAAGGAAGAAATTAAATGTCCGAGATTAAAATTAAACAAAAAACTAATAATAACAAAACCAATAATAATAAGAAAAAATTACAAGTGTTTTTCCGGAAATCACTATTAAAATAGGATTAGCATGAATTTTATATTATAATCTTTGTCGGCAAATATACCTATATGACATTTCTCTTAAAATCCTGACTGTTGATAATCTGCTTTTCATTTTTTTCCTTTGGAAAAAATAACCAAAGGTTTTCCCCCTAATTTTACACCAGAAATTCACAATAAATAGCATTCAAGAGTTTGCGTGTTTTTACCAGTGCTTCTAGAGCAGCATAACTGGTAACTAAGCTGTATATTTTTTCAGTTAGAAATTTATTTTGCTAGCTATTACCAAGTGGAGCATATTAATAAAACCAGAAATTAAAAGACCAGCTAAAAAAATGCTTTTTGAATTAACAAAACTTCTGCTGCTTAGGGAAAAGCAGTCTAAGTTCTTGCTGGTAAATATTTACAGGCAGGTTCTGAAATAAGATAAAATGCCTAGTGACACTGAACTGCAGATGTTCAGTGATGTACTGTCTGCAATGGGTTTCAGTCTTTGCAATCCACTGTTGCATGAAAGAGAGTTTTAGAACCATGCAAAAGTTCTAAAACCACTTTAAAAAAAAAAAAAAAGAGAGAGAGAGAGAGAGAGAGAGAGAAAACCCCCATAAAAGTCCCAGACAAATCACATGAAGCTTCTGGAATATTTAAATCAGTTTCTTCTCTTGAAAAAGAAAATAATTTTTTAAAAATTCTTTTCTTTAAAAAGGGTAATAAATTCAGAGGGTATAACATGAAATTAAAACACGAAAATATAAATTAGTTCTTTCTCTTATTTTTCTATTGTTAACATTACTGTCAGCTTAAAGGAGAACCAAAATACCTAACTCCTATTATGATACAAATCTGTTTAAAATGTGCATTTTATTTAAAAGCTGTCAAGAGATTGAGCTTCTGCAAGCACAAAAGTCGACTGCTGTGGTATTTTAATGTCTTTGTTTGAGATCTGTGGATTCATGAAAGCTTTAAGGCTGTAAATACCTTTGTCATCTTTAAAATCTCTACATCAGGTAGGTTAGTGTTGAATGTCACATCTTTTATGTAGGTTATTGCAATTTCATCCCCGTCCATCTCCATGTACATTTTCCATTTACAATCCTATGAATAATAAAAAAAAAGAATGCTGGATTGTTAGAATACAAATAGAAAAAAAATAACAAACAAGAAACCCCAAAATGAAACAAAACTGAAGGCTGAAACAACCCAAAATCTAATCCTCAATATATGAGGAGAAGAAAATAACCCAAAAGAAAGTTAAGGGACATATACATATTTTAGGATATGCATGTTTTCCAGTGCAAGTATTGATAAAGAAAAATCCTCAGTTCTCTTGTTCAGTCTTTTCTTAGCTCACCCTGAGAGACAGCTGCCTCTCAGGCAGGTCTGGATGTCTTCAGAGGTGTGGATCCCCTGCAGCACCTCACCTGGACAGACAGCCTGCTGGAGCAGGCTTGGGAGCTCTGCACACCCATGGGGAGGTGCAGGGACAGGGCAGTGGTGGGAGCTGTCACTTGGGGTCACAGTCAGTGCTGGCAGCCAGCCCCAAGGACATTGTCCTGCTGAACCCAGGAACAAATGACCAAAGAGTCTGTGAAACACCTTCAAGGCAATCGCTCAAATAACGGGCAAGAGGATGAGCTTGTTATTACAGCTCAGTTATCTCAGATACTGAGTGCCCAGTGAGGCACTGAGCATCCTCAACTTCTGTTCACCTCCAATTGCACTATTAATTATAAGCAAGTTTAGTTTAGAAAATAATCACAGTCTAATAAACCAAAGCAATAAAAGGTATTAATTATTATCCTTAAATAATCTCCTGAGCTGAACAGGGGGCCAACACCCAACACTTTGCACAGGTGTGAGCCTGCAGAAGATGACAGCTCTGGCAGCATCCCACAGGACATCCTGCATCGGCTGAGTGCTGGAGCTGGGTTCGTGTCTGTGGCCAGGGAGGCTCCCACTGGGGACTGGAGACTGCCTGTCCATGGTCCAAAACAGCCAACATTTGCTGGTGTGCCTGGCAGGTGCTTTGGGGATGAGGTGCTGTCCGGTGCACTGAGCTCCTCCAAAATCTGAGGGACAACAGGACTGCAGTGAAGCATTGTGTATTCATCTCCATGTGGGAAGGAGGGAATCTTCCCTTCACAGTGGCAGGAGATCCTCCAGACATACCAGGGGCTTAGAAGGGTCTGTATCTGGCAAGTGTGCCAGCACTTGCCAGAGGCACTCCTCACCTCAAATCTGCTCAGAAAATGCAAAAACTTTCCACGGGGACACAGACAGCCGCTTAGGGCATGGGCCGCAGTTGTTTGCACACACAAATGTACAGCAGCCTAAAAAGTATCCCTTCATACATGACATTATCTGCCAGTGTTTGCATGTGCATCTCTCATAAGCATAACCAAGGAGCGCAGCCCTCAGAAGTCTCAAAGCTTTCAATCAGGCACTGAATTGGCAATACCAAAACAAAAGAAAACTGAAGTATAAACATTTCCAAACTGCAACAAGAATTTACGTTTGTAACAGGATTTGGCCCTGCATGTCCATCTGTCCCCGCTGAAAACTTTCACATTTTACAAGCAGAGTGGATGTGTGAGTTGGTTTTCACACTGCCCTGGTGCAAGTTTGAGTGATGGGAACTGCAGTTCAGTGGTCAGGGCACCAGACCAAGACTCAGAGGCACCAAGCTCAGTTTCCAGTTGTGCTAATGGCTTTCTGTGCAACCTAATAAGGTGACAGAGTTGCCCTGTGCCTCCATTTCCTAATCATGGACTGCATCTCTTTGCACATCTCTTTTCTGTCCTGCTTTTTGGGTTTGTGAACTAACCCAGGCTAATGCCTGTCTTGTCCCAGGTAGGCACAGCACGACACCCTGGCCCTGACATGAGCTGAGGACAGCATGTCCTATGTAACTGAACAGCAACAGCAAAGAGAGTTGCCTCGCACTCCTTCTTGTCCCTCGAACCGTGCTCCTCTCCCAGCCCACACCATTCCTGTTGTCAGCCTTTTTTGCAGGACTTCCTTCATTCATGCTATTGCAAATTGAACCTGAGGTTAGAGGCGGTTTGGTGACATTTTTAAGTTTTACAAAAACACCTGAGCCAAGGAAAGAAAAAAAATATTGACATAAAGTGCTATCCTCCAGTTAGTCCAGCACACCTCCTGCCATAATACCAGTGCCAAGCACCTGAGAGCCAGAGCTGCACCTTGTGGCAGGGCTCCTCATGACTCAGGATTTTGTGCTGTTCACTCACATTTCCCTACAGACTAGATCTGACAAACATGATCTCATTTTAAAAAACAAAAAAATCAACTAGCCATCTCTAAAGAAAAGGCTGACAAGCTGTGTACAGCCAGAGTGTGGCAGATGGGCACCTGCCAGTGCCCGGCCCCTTGCCGGATCCACCGTGCACGCAGGAGCCGCTCTCCATGCGGGAACCAATCGGGCTGCCCCACGCAGCGGTGGATGCACGAGCCCTGCACAAACACTGCCTTCCCCAGATCAGAACTGCATCTTCAGAGAAACATAACCTGTCCTTCAAAACCAGTCCCCAAATGTTTTCTCCTCCTTGGAGCCCTCTACAGCCACACTGTGCAGATACCGAAAGGGCAAGTTACCACACCAGGCACATCCTCCCTGGTCACCCAAAAATACCTGTCTTGTTTTATATGGCAAGATTTCCATTCTGTGTTATTGTAAAATCATCACTGGAAAGGAGAAAGAGAAGGAAATAAAGGGGGGCAAGAAATGGAAGGAGATGCTGGGAGGAAAAGAGAAAAGATATAAAAAAGAGAAAGGAAGGAAAGAGGAAAGAAGGAAGGAAGAAACACACCTGGTAACTATTTTGTTCAACCACACAGCAAATAATGCAAGATTTGTGTGCTGCAGAAAGAAATGGACATATTTCATTGTTTTGTAATGGAATTCTAGGTTCTTATAATAGGAGAGAGATGCTCATCCACTTAAGCAAAAATTTGGCTAGAATAACCAAGCATACGAATTTCAGTTCTGTCATGAATTGTAGCCATAAGGCTTCTCGGATTGAGACTACATTTAGCACCAGATGTATGTGGGAAAATAATTTGGAAATTGAAAGTGTCTGGTTGATAAATAGGCTTACACAAGTCCTTCAAAGAGACTTCCCTGAACATCTTGTCATTCAAACATTAAAATATCTCCCAGTATTTACCTGCTTGATTTTGATTTAAATGGAGAATTTCAGCTTTTTGTTTTAAAAAAATATCTAGTTTCAGAACTGAGGGGCAACCAGTTCTCAAACCAGCAAAATTTTGTGTGAAAACGTTTTCAAATAACACTTTGACAAAGTAAAAAAATCAGCAGCTTCTGAAAATGATTCTAGAAATGAAAATCACACACGTATTTGAGCCGCTTCTCCTCAGTTTCAAAACAGAAAGTAAAACCACTTTAAAACTTAAGTCTGCAGCTTACTGTGGTGACAATACTCCTTTAGCCCCATATGCATTAACGTCTGACAAAAAAAAAAATAAAATGAAAGGGAAATGAAAAAGATCAGGCACAGGCTCTAAACAGCAAACATGTGTCCTGAAGCAGCTTAAAACCCTTGCTGGGGAGGCACTTCATTTTTCAAGGGGGCCCAAATCCAGGATCATTTTAAAACCAGTGGTTGGAATGAACTTTTTTGTTTTTTTAAAGATTGAAATAAAAATGGAAACAGCATTGTAGCAGGTAACTGGATATTAGAAGAAAAGTAAGATGTACCATGAGATGAAACAAATATGAAAAAAATATTGGTCATGCTGATACTAAAAGTAGTAGCATGTTGATGATTTAGGTCCCCAGAAGCTCTTTTACGTTCTTAGCTATTATCTATCTCAGCTGCTGAAACCTGCTGTTTTAAAGGCATTAGAGTTGAACATCTAGTGACAGCACTTGGGTTATTTATCATTATGTATCACCCTGCTACACTATATTTTATTATACTGGATTTAAAGGAAGATAACACAATTATGGTTAATTTGCTTCTCTTCTTTATATATATAGTGTCATGACCCACCACAGCTTTGTCCCATGAGATATTTTTAACCAAAAAGAAATCCACAAGAAACTCTCCCTAAAAATTCCATTAATAACCTCTTGTAGCATGTATAGGTTGCAGGGTCTGGAACTAAGAATGTTTTAATCTCTTCAGCAAAACAATGTCTCATAATGATGTACAGGACTATTGCTGCACTGATGAAGAATCATACATAATTCAGCACCTTTCACTTGGCACCACTGTGATATCCTCATTAGCAGTGGCTCACAGTGGCTGTCAGATGGTGTCCATGCGAATGCAGGCATTATATTGTCTTTGAGATGTGCAGCTGCTTCCATGACACTGCCAGTATATAAAAACATGACGCCAGTTTGTTTTATTTAGTGCTAAACCTTCCAGTTTGTAAAAACAAGGCTGACACAGAGCCTGACATGAGGCAGTGAAAATAATTAGCTCTCATTTTCTCAGCCTCCTATTTCCTTCTCCCCGCTGTGTTCTCTTTCCACTAAACCACCACATGTCAGTCGAAATGGGAGGCAATTAGTGGGCTCATTTCAGTCCCCACAACTGTGCTGAAAAGAAAGTATTTATGATGGCACAATGAACAGCTGAAAGATTAAATAACATTTGCCTTTTGAAAAGAAAATGACTTCTAGCTAAATGGGCAATTTTTGATTATTCTCAAACAAGCTTAGAGTAGTTGGTTTTTAAAATACAAGAAAGGAAAATGAGTCATTTTTAGGTGAAAGAATCAAATAAAACTTGACACAGTAATGCAAATAACTGATGTTTTATTGCAAAATATGTAAATGTGTTATACCCTTAACAATGGCTGGTGTCTCAGGTCAGGGCAGGCTGCTGCCAGCCAGGCTCCAGCAAGAGAAGGTGGCTCCACCGCCGGTTTTGTTTCAGCTGTGCAGGCAGAAAAAAAGAGGGGCGGAGGAGAGGCCTTGCAAGAGAGATGGTCTTAGAATGTACAGAAACAAAGCAAGCAAAAGATATATTTATGTTATCAGTTGCCTGGGTGCCTCCTTCAAGCTGGAGGCCCTACTCCTCTGCGAGGCAACAGGCACTGACTGG